GGGGGGGGGGGGAGAAAGTTAAAAGTTGAGGTTCATGATCTAGTAGGAAAACCCCAAAAAACCATGCTGGGGTTACAAATATCATGGTTCTCTGAAATGCTGTCTGGCACACGTCACTGACCTTTTAATATCTACTGATTCATCCTATAAATAAATAATTGCTGTAGGTTGAATTGGATGAGATTCCAGAGACGGTAAATGCCTAATAAAAGAATGAGGCATGTGCCCACATGCCCTCCGGAGAGCAGAATCCTGGAGCTGATCAAGTTGAAACCTGAATGACCCATGAGTGATTATCTGCTTTGGTTGCTCATCACAGAGACCCTGACCTGAAGCTCAGGGATCATCAGGTTGGTAAGTCAAGGTAAAATCAGGGAGAAGTAGCAGCCAGGTGCAGAAACAGGAAAAGCCCCCCCGGGTATTTGCTGAGTATTTGCCATGCGCCAAGTGCTGCGCAAACATCAGTCTCATTCGATTGCCATGGTAAAACCATAAGCTAAATTCTTTCACCCTTTTTTTCATAGATGAGAAAACTGAAGTTTAGAAAGTTAAGAATCCTGCTCATGAGTACTTCTGCTTCAGGCCTAGAGGAAGTGACAGGGACAAGATAGATCTTCTTATGTGAACCAACGAAACCAGAAACAACACAAATGTCCATCAGCAGGTGAATGGACAGGCAAGTGGTGAAAAATCCATCTAGACAATGGACTGTCACTCAGAAATATAAATACATGAACTATGGAGACATGCAACAAAATGAATCTCGCCCGGCCAGGCGTGGCTCAGTGGTTGAGCGTCAACCTAGGATCCAGGCGATCAGGGTTCGATTCCCGGTCAGGGCACATGCCCGGGCTGTGGGCTCAATCAATGACTCTCTCATCATTGATGTTTCTATCTCTCTCTCTCCCCCTCCTTTCCTCTCTCTGAAATCAATAAAGATTAAAAAAAAATGAATCTCAAAATAACTATGCTAAGTGAAAGAAACCACACGAGAGTAGAGATGACGTGATTTGGTTCCATTTGTGTAGGATCTTGGGAAATGCAAACAAATGTACAAGAACTGAGCCCTTCAGTGGTTGCCTGCAGATCGAAAGGGAGAGGGAGGGAGCTGGAGGGAGCTGGAGGGAGGGAGCTGGAGGGAGGGAGCTGGAGGGAGTGATCCCAGGGCACTTTGGGGTGATGGATATGCTCACTGTCTTGATTGTATTGTGGTGATGGTTTCTGGGTATACACATTTGACAAAACATCAAATTACACAATTTAAATATGTGAAGATTATTTTATCTCATGTCTGTCTCATTAAATCGGTTAAAAGAGAGAGAGAGAGAGGACCCTTGCTTATGACCATGCTGATGGTGGGAGAGCGAGGATTCCAACCCTCAAGACCTGTGTTCTTCCTCCTACCCACATGACCTCAGTCAGGTACCAAGGAATCAGGAGCTCCAAGGCTGCCTTGCTGTCCCAGGCCCCCCTCTCCCAGGGTCATGTGGCCCCAGCACAGCACCCCTGGGCCATCTCCCTTCTCCCTTCTCCCTCCCTCGATCCCCACCTGTCCAGGGGGCCCGGCTCACACCATCACACCTGCCCACCCTCTGTTGCTTCCCGTTTCCACGGCCTTCCCCATCTCTGCATGGAAGGACCACAGCACAGGTAGAAATCCAAGCTTGCTGTGGCCACCAGGCCATCTGGCGCAGGTGGGAAAGGGGTTGGCCGAGAAAGCCAAGGCAGGGGTGGGACATGGGTGTCTGGGACCTGGGGGATGTGCCAGGGGCCTGGGGCAGTGCCTGGGTGTCCGAGTACCTGCAGGCAGAGCCACATGACAGCACTGATTTGGGAGCTCGAGGGCTCAAGCTGTAGGGTGAGAGCGTCGGGGAACCACTGTCCTAACCCCAGCCTGGCTCTGCCCCACCCGCCCTCAGCTTCCATCTCTAATGCTGAGAAAACCAGCGTTTTCTACTCACGCTCGGTTCCCTCGGCACATCTATGGCAGAGGGCTTTTCACGTTAAGGACATGGTATTTCCCTCCCACTCTCCCCGGTAAAAAATCCTTAAAAGGGAACATATAACATGTTGCTTCTCTTTCATCCCATTTTGCATGATGCAAGGTCAGGTCGTGGCAGAGCGCTGGGGAAACAGTTATTTTTAAAGCAAAATATCATCTGTTTCGCAACCTAATTACACAGACAGTAAGAGCTCAGATATTCCACGTGCACCGCAGATTAAAGGGCAAAGACGGGCCCCTTTGGGCCTTCAGACCGCTTGATGTAATGGAATAAAATGCGTAACGTACATGTAGTAAAACAGCACAGAGAACAAAGGCGCGGTGTAGACGGCGCTGAGGAATAATCTTATAAAACGCCTATAATTACACCTGCGTGACTCACAGTGAGAGTCACACTGACAGTGGGAAGCGGGCGCTGCGCTGTGCCCGCCGAGCTCCGGCTGTCACGGGATTCGGAATCCGCGTGGGCGCTTCCTCTGGAAGGACACAAGGCAAACGAGCAAGGCCATTTGGTGTCCTCAAGAATTTACGGTACAGAAGGTGTCTGGAGAGAAGGTAGCTCGGAATCAATGAACGAAATAGGTGATGATTAATAGCAGTTAAGGGGCAGGTTCCTCGTCGATCTTTGGGATTTCTGAGGTCACAGTTGCAGGTTAAAGGGACGTGATTCTACCCTGAGCAACGCTTTGTTTATATTCCAATATGTGTATTTGAAGTCTAGATTTTGGCCAAAACAAATTATGCACCTGCTTTACTCTCCCCTCAGGAAGCAACAGGCTAATTCTACCCCATCCCTGAGCCACTGTCCCAGGTGTTCACTGAGCACCCGGGAGGTGCCAGGAAATGCTAAATTCTCCAAATATCGCTCAGTTCCTACAACGATCCTGGAATGCAAGAATCGGCTCCGTTTTATAGATGAGATTCACAGATGTGAAATAAAGGACCTAAGATCTCATAGAAAATTCATCTGAATATAAGATGAAAGCCCAGAGCCATCTATAAAGCACGTAGCTCTTTTCGCTCACCTTCCCCTTACCCAGTAGTTCCCAAACTTTGCTGCCCACCGAGTCACCTAGGAATCTTTAAGAATAATTCAGATGTGTGGCTCCCACTCCCCATTTTCTAATGTGACTGATCGGGAGTGTGACACGGGCATTGGGAGACACTGAAAGCTCTCCAGGTGATTCTCACGTGCACCAAAGTTTGGAAACCACCGCCTTGTCACCTGGCCTGGTTAACGCTGAGTGCTGGTGGCCGTGCTGGTTGTCCCCTACTGAGTCTGTGCACTTTTGCTCCCCCCAAATGAGATCTAGGTCAGCTGGGCTTCTTCCTAAATCTAACTACGCCTCTTTTACTTGATATTATAGATAAAATATAACCAAATATTATGTAAACCACTCTAAACTAAATCCAATTGCTTTGGAAAGATGTGATCAAATGAATTTGGGGTTTTTTTAAAGATGCTAAAATAGGTGTGAATAAAAAATTATAGAGTGGAAAAAATTGGAAGAATCTGGGAAAAGTCTATACCCAGTTGGCTGCACAAATGTATTTTAAGTTGCTGAGTCACTTAGAAAGAAATTGAAAGCAAAGGCCAGACTATTAATATAAATGCGGTCTGTGAAAGTCAGAACCTTCATTTGAAAAGGCACCTCAAAGAGAAAGCCACGCCCTGGATCAGAAGACCCGTGACTAAATACACGTGTGTGTCGTAAGTTCAAATAACATGTTTATGACACGTATGTATCATTTTATATGATTTCCCTTTTTAACTAATTTTGTTCAATTAACTGACCAAAAAGTACATCTGTGAACTCACGCCATCTGCTTCTAAGAAAGGCAACTGGTTGGTCTTTCTCTTTCTAAAACGTAGCTAAAATGCATGATAGAGGAATTCTCTCATTGTTTAAAATGCAGCCCATTCCATGGGATTTAGCACAAGGGCCGAGCTCTGAGGGGCCAGGCACACAGTAGGCCTATGGGGACAGACAGATGGACAACAGGTACTCGGTCCTCGGGGGACTCGTCTAATGAGACTCAAACAAGCCCCCAAATGACTGAGATACAAGGTGGACTGAGGCGAGGGCTCATCATCCCCCAACCTGATACGGGACCATCGGAGAAAGGAAATCCACAGCAGGGAGAGCCTGCAGGGCTTTATGGAGGCGGCGGCTCCAGGGGGCAGCAAGAAACAGGCAAGGTGTTTTTTATTGTTGATGTCACTGTCCCTTCCCTCCTTTCCAAAGGGAGGCGGCCCTGACCTTGGTGGTAGGAGAGATTAAAAACGTAAGTATGAAAAGACCACTGATGGGGTCCCAATTGGTGGGGCCCCAGGAGAGGTGAAGGGATAGAATCCCACTAGTGCTCCAAAACCTCTGTAAACCGGGGAAATCTTTTAAGCTTAACCCAGTGCTCCCTGAAAAAAGGTGACACATCCACGTAGAATTGTCTTTTCTCTCTTGATTGGACAAGTTGAACACAATTGTGTCTGTCTACTTCACTGCAGGGGAGGGGGGGGTTGTGTGTGTGTGTGAGAGAGAGAGAGAGAGAGAGAGAGAGAGAAACGCATATTGTGTATAAGATTCAGGTGCATATGCACGTGGGATGCTGAGTCCTTGCCCCAGAGACCCCTTGGAATCCGTCATCTAAGCTTCCGACGGCCAGTTAACAGCAACCTGCTCCGCTCTCTGCTTCCCTGCAGGGTGGCTAATTAATAAACTTTCCCTTAATTGAGTTCTGGCTGCCAGGTCCACAGGGGTTATCCTTACACATAAGTAAACAAAATTCCCATTTTAAACAGCACTCAGGTCTCCTCATTACATTTTAAACAGACAGAAATGCACACACATCAAGCAAGCCGTGGGCTGGGAGGCCATGTGCACTCCTCTCCCCCCACCCCCACGCCCCCAGAAGCCGGGCGCTGTGGCCAGCAGGTGACATCTCCAGAGCCTCTGGGGCTCACCCCACAGCCGCCCTTCTTTGCTCTCATCTACAGACACGTTAGAAAGCACCCAAAGAAGGTTTGGAAGCCATTAAGGGTACATGCCTTTCCTTTTACCTGAATTTATTATTCAAAAGCAATTCGCTTCCACAGTTTACAAATAGGAAGGCGATGGGTTAGAAGTTAAATATTTAATCAGTGCCCAGGGCTGGTTCAATACTGACGGGGAGGGTTGCTGGGTTTGGGGAATGTCCCAGCCTACACGTTTATGGAGGTTGAGTTTTAAGCTCTTACAGTTGAAATCCTTCCATTAAGTGCTTCTTTGTGTTCAAGAGTCCTCTCTACTTTCAGGTTCCACGTCGAGAGCAGAACCATGAAATAAAAAGTGAAAAACCAAAAGCAGAGCTGTGTGCGGCTTGGTTTGCAACCTACCAGGAGGCGGAGACCGTCCCACCTCCTGAGTTTTCCACTCGGCGCCATTTGGAAGCCATTTGGCTCCAGGTTCAGATCTCTCGTGAGTCACCCTTTGCTGAGAGTACAGGAATGCACTGCAGGCTCTGATGATTATTATTATTATTATCGTCAGCTTGGAAGAATAAAATTAACATTTTTCAGACTCCCACATTCACACGGCTCAGATACCATCCAGAAAAGCAGGTGGGGGCAGGACTTAAAGCCAGCTCTCCGACTGTTAGGAGACACGTGGACCACACTCTGTTCCTGATTCTGAAGGTCTGGGTCCTCTCACCTCCACCCTAACCCCTTGTGTCCTTCTTTGAGAAAGTTATTCTAACCCGAATTGCTGTGAATGGTATTAGCCCTTTCTTGAGGATCCATCTCCCCTGCAAGATTCCCATTCAAAATATTTTCTCACCCCCATCAGACCCTCCTCGCCATCGCTGGTTGCCAAGAGAGACTGGGTCTGCTGACGGAGCCCCTCCCGGCACCCAGGGCCTGCAGGCGAGGCCAGTGCACCTCCCAGCACCCAGGGCCTGCAGGCGAGGCCAGTGCACCTCCCAGCACCCAGGGCCTGCAGGCGAGGCCAGTGCAGGTGGCCAAGGCTGTGGGTCAGAGCCCCGAAGCCTGGTCTCGGGGATGGGACTCCACCAGGCCAGGGTCCATGCGGAGACTGCAGTCCCGGGCCAAGTCTTCAGGCCCAGTCAAAACTAAATGAGTCAGTGGCATGAAAAATACATGAACGACTAGTACATGCGACAACGTGGCTGCGTCTCAAATGCTGAAAAACACACACACACAAGGCCACACATGGGCCACACGATTCCATTCCTATGATGCTCTGGGTTAAAAATCAGATCAGTGGTTGTCGGGGACTGAGGAGGGGACTGACTGCAAGGGACAAGAGGGAACCTTATGTGGTGTGGCTTTGTCCTAATCTCAGTAGCGGTGGTGGTTACACAACTGCATAGATCCCCCAAAACTCATCTAACGACACAGAGAGAGGGTAAGTATTACTGAATGTAAATTATGCCTCGTTAAACCTGAATTAAAACAACTAAGGAGCAGGGACAAAGGAAGAGAGACTGGGTCAATGGAGGCATCGAGTTGGGGGAGGGATGAACTTCCACGTGGGCAACAGACGCCCCAAGAGCTATCTCCAGGATACCGGCTTGCAAGACTTTGGGCAACAAGCAGACTTGGGAGAAGTTGGGGAGCCCATCCCCAGATGCCAGGTGGATGTCTTAATCCAGGCTCCACCCCCAATCAGGTTAGTCGATTGCCTCTGTCAGTCAGTCATCTTCACAATTCCCAGCCACCAGAGCTGGTCTCCTCACTCAGGGGTTTTTTGTCTGGTTTTTTTTTGGGGGGGGGGTATTGAGCATCCTTGAGACAATCATTCAGAAAGTGCTGGGGGCCAGCTGCCTGTTTCAAAAGCCCTACAGAGGTGGACACTGAGAGGCTAAGCCGCCGCCCAGCCTGTGGCCACAACCTGCCTTAGAAAGTCCAGTGAGGTCAACAGGCCATTCTGCCCGCGGTCCAGGATCCCACTGAGACACTCGGCTGAGTGCCACCCCCACGGCAACCTCATTCATAAATTACGTTCACCCAGGCAAGCCCTTTCCCCTCAGCCGGTCCAAAGGCAAACGTCAGCCCAGACTCAGCAATGACCTTGAGTCACATGTCAGCGGGACTCCGGCCTGGGGAGCCTGTGCCACGTGGACCAAGGTCATGGTCGCCCAAGGAGGGGCTCCCCGCTCGTGGGAGGCTGGTGGGGCGGCCACTTACTTCCCCCCTTCCCGCTCTTCTCCATGCGGTACTGGTAGATGTGCAGGGTGAAGAGCATGTGTGAGTTGCGGTGGTCCTCCTCGTCGCAGTCCTGCTGGTGGCCCCGGCGCGAGGCGATGGCCGCGTCCAGGAAGAAGGCGGCCTTCTCGGCGGTGGGCGCCCGCAGCTCGCTCTGGTTCTGCAGCTGGAAGACACAAGCCGAGAGCTGGAGCCGCGGGCTGGGGAGGCCTGCGGGCTGCTCGGCGCAGTAAAGCCACGTTGATGCCCACTGCGGGCGCTGTGCAAGCACCACCGGGCATGCCTTACGCTTCAGAACAGTGGTCCTCAAAGGGGGGCCCCTGGGCCAGCAGCAGCACCTGGGAACTTGCTAGAAATGCACATTTTGAAGCTCTATCAAGGACCCACTGAGTCAGAAATTCCAGAGGTGGAGCCTAGTAATCTGTGTTTTAACAAGTCCTCCAGGGGACTCTGATGAAGACTAAAGCCTGAGAACCACTCGATTAAGGTTTTCACCACCAGCTAGTTTGTGTTCGAATTAGATTCCACATCCAAGTGGCATCTGATGCATCTGTTAAAACTGAACAGCCAGCCTTAGTCAGACACGGTACCCACCATTTGAGAGTTGCCGAGAACTAACCAGGCAGTCACAGTATAACTGCTATGAGTTTTCTAGCGACCTCTGGAGAGACATCTCAGAGGGCTTCCTGGAAGAAGTGACATCTAGCTGAGACCTAAAGGATAGGAACTTAGCCAGATGAAGGGCCAGAGGGGAGGAGTATTCCATGCACAGGGGATAGATGTGCAGAGGCCCAGAGGTAAGAGGGAGCATGGCTGGTGCCTTAGAGCTTTGCTACTGAAAGTGTGGGATGAGGTAGGTACAAGCTGAACACCTGTCTAAAAAAGGAGGCATCGGCTGAGACAAGAAAGGAGGGCCTACTGCCGGAGGCTAGAAGAACTGGGTATTTTGGGTGTGACGCATGTTGCTCCGAGGCCTTGCTGACATCTACAGTCAAACGGCAAGAGAGAAACACTGGATATGGGCGTGGCACCCCGAAAAGGCGAACCGGAGCTTCTCTTGACTTCCGTGGTTCTAGCAATTATATCACAGCTCTAACTGGAAATGGTGACTAGTTTTGCCAACAGCACCTCCAATCTGCCTGTAGCCAGTGCCAGAGAAACCGTTCACATGGCCATCAACAGCCCCGGGGACGACTGTAGCTCTCCCTGCAGAGCAGTAAATGTTTCAGTGTGTTGTTAAGCAAAAGATTGTACTTTTCCTTCCACGCCCCCCCTGAAAGGGGTATAAAGAAGGTAAATTCAATTTCCTCGAAATGCTACAACAATTGCAATTCCTGCTCATTGTCAATTAGATTCGAGGTATACATATTTAGGCTGGGCGAGCAGATGGCCCCGCAGCTGGCGGCCGCAAAGCTCTGGTCCACTTTAGGGTAAACGCGCGTGAGCCTCCCGGACACGCTGGTGAGTCAGCCGCTGAGCCACCTCGGGGCCGGCCCAGGCGCTCACCTGCGTGCCGCAGATGGGGTCCTCGCACAGGTACACGCCTGGGGACTGGCCGTCCTGCAGGCTGCCCGTGGCCACCTCGGACAGCAGGTCCCGCAGGTTCTCTTCCTTGCCCCACACTTCCACGGCTGAGATGCGGACTGAGAACCGGGCTCCGGTCTTTTCTTTCCGCTCATTGATGAGCTTGAAGAGCCAGGAGATGGCACAGGGGATGATCCCCAGGTTCTGCATGGAGTCGTCTTTTCCGATCATGGTGTAGGATTTTCCTGGAGGGGAGGGGACAAAGGATGGAGTTTGAGCGTCCAGGTGTCATTCTACAGTCTCGGGAACAGAGGCACAGAGGTGGGAGGGAGGGGAGAGAGGAAATGGAAAGGTGAGCGAAATATCCAGCATTTGACAACAGTAACAAAAAGACATTTCCTAACACTTCTGATTAAAGGGCTATAATAAGACTGCGAGAGCCCTGGAAATGACAAGGCTGAGTCACCACGTACCTCCCGGAGGAGCCCAAATATCACCAGCTACCCTTTCTACACTGACTTACGCATCGTGGGAAGGCAGAGGCCTCTTCCCTCTCTTACGGGGCTTCTGTCACCACCCCCCAGATCAGCTCCACATCCTCACACGCTGTATCTTCCCTCAAGTTAAATGCTGTGTATATTTTTACAGCAAAGCCCATTAAAATCTGGGTCACTGCTTTGATCAGAGATGAAGAGGAGGGAGGGGCGGGGAGACGGAGTGTCGGTGGGATGAGAAGGGCTGTGGGTCCTGCCCTGGACCTGACCCCCATCATCTCCAGGGCCTCTGCTGGCATCTTGGCCAAGGGACACTTTGGGGAGCAGAGAGCCACAGGTCAGGAGGAAGAAGGCACCTCATCGGGGTGTTTAGCTGCCTCCCCCCCAGGCGCCCAGCACAGGGGATCCTGACAGCCGGAGGCCGGGAAGCAAGGGGGCTGTCAGACGCTCCCGACAGGTCCAGTCACGGTCTGGGCTTTGCTCGGGGCTGCTCCTCTGACTTTTATGTCGGCTCCATCACCAACCCAAATCCTCCTGGGGGCCCCTCTCTGCTTCCCAACAGCCCCTGCTCAGGACAGGTACATTTTCCCACTGGCTTTCTGGGCCTGACCCTGACCTGGACCAAAGGGAAACAACAGGCTACTCCTGTCCATCTCCTGGACTTGAAGCCTTTCCTAGACGGCTGGGTATCCACCCAGAGCAGAAATCCACGCTTCAAAAGCAGAGATGCCCATTCATGGTTATTTAATTCAGCACCTGGGGGAGACACCTTTCCTTTCCTCTGAGGACTCTGGGACAATACAGAAGAAGGAATGGGGTGACTGGGAGTCCAACAAGCCACGCGGAAAAAGTACCGCTCACTGACCCAGCTTGGCGTGGCCGAAGCAGAACACGCAGCCATCGGCCCCGTTGACCACGGACTGGATCACCTCCGCCACGGTCCCAGCGCACACTTCAGCCTGGTGGACACAAGAGACACATGGTGAGTGGACCACTGACAATGGGAACATGAGCCAGCTTTCCTGGGGCTGGGGGTCATGACATTCCCAGATGGGCCGGCCTCTAACGGGGTTCTGGAGGTGCTCGGCCCCCTCTGGTGCCTTCCGCCCCATCCAGCCTGAACGTTACACACAGAAACTGCAAACCGCCCTCCTGCTAATTCCTGCTGCATTTCAGCGGCGTCTCCGCAGACCAGGCAGGAACCTTCGGGAAACACAGGATGCTTTCATGGACCTCACGCCCGCCCTCGCTGCTATTCTGGCCTCTGGACAAGGCATTTAAACTTTCCATTTGCTCTCTGCTAACTAGATCTTTCCTTACACACACACACACACACACACACACACACATTTATAAAATGGTCCCGGCTTATTAGAGGGAAAAGGGTGACCTGCCATTTCAGGAAAATGACCTTGAGAATCATTGCAATTCTAATACAAGCAGGTTTGTGACTTCGGTCTGCTTTCTCTCCCAGCCTCCTTCCGCCTCTCAATCTACAGCCTCCTCTTCTCAAAACCGGCCTTTTCTTTCTCTCTGCACAGATACAGTTAACGCACACGAATCCTTCACAAATAAGACGCACTGACTCCTGAGACAGGGCCCGGGCTCCCGATGACTGTGTGTGTTTCCCCGTTGACACCCGGTCGCATCGAGCCTGTCAACTCCAAGGACCAGTCCATTCTGGGGACCGACTAGGAGCTCGGGGAAGTCTCTCCCTGGTCAGCACCCGAGCTCTCCCAGCAGCCGGACAGAATTATTCCCCTGCGCCGGAGCCAGAAGCTGGGGGGCTCCGCAGTCATCAGAGCAACGGGCCCCCCGGTGGGAGCCTGGGAACTGCAGCCTCGGCGATGAATGTAGTCATTCAGCGCCAGGTCCCAGCCGCACAATGAACCTAAGTATTCAGGAATCAATTTTCTCTCCCAAACCGAAATGGAAAAACCACACTCCCAACAATTGTGAATTGTTCGGGGGTGGTCGCCTTGGCAACTCTGCTGGGGGCACCTCCTAGGTGAAGAGGACCGGAGGACAGGGCTGCCGTGGAGTGGGGACCACAGGCTCTGTCATACCTCCAGGACCCAGGCAACGCGAGCCTGAGGCTGTAGGATCTCGATGGAATTTGCCAGAGGCTGAGTGAACTCTGCTTCTTTGGACATAAAGGGAGATGGGGGCTGAGAGGCTGAGAGCCCACCTGATCCATCCATAAAATAAACTGTATTAAACTCAAGGTCAGCCCGGAGAATGTTGGTTAGGTCTGGCCCACAGGGCCATCACCAAGTCACCTGCGCCATGGCCGGATGGAGGAGACACAGGAGAGGCCTCAAAAGGCGCAGGACAGGCTGAGTCCACACCCACTGCCCACTGGCAAGTGTGGCAAGTGACCTGTCCATGTGGTGTTTGTTAGGAGCTGGCCGCGGCCCCTGGAGACCACGTGCTGCTTTTCTGGGGCCTAGAGCAGCAGGCAGCCTCCCGAGCACAGACTGTGGGCAGGGTCCAGTCTGCAAGAAGCCCCTGCTCTCCCACAGCTCCCATCCTCCCCACCACCCCTCCTGCTAATGTCCCCTCCAAAATGCACAGGCTGAAACCTCCGGTGATGGTGTTAGGAGGTGGGCACTTTGGGAGGTGATTAGGTCGTGAGGGTGGAGCCCTCGTGAGTGGGATTATAAAAGAACCTGAGAGTTCTCTGGTCCCTTCCACCACATGAGGTCACAGCAAGACGATGCCGTTTATGAACCAGGATGGGGCTCTCACCCGACACCAAATTTGCCAGCACCTTGATCTTGGACTTCCAGTCTCCAGAACCATGAGAAACAAATTTCTGTGATTTAGAAGCCACCCGGCCTGTGCTGTTTTGTTACGGCAGCCCGAAGGGACGAAGTCACCTCCCCACAGCCAGACCCAGCAGAGGTCTGCCCCAGTAGTGGGCAACTGACAACAGCCAAGATCGTTTAAGGGGATAAAAATGGCTCATAAAGGCAACGGGGAGCGAGAACCGTTCTAATCGTTTCTTAGCTTCCAGAAGCTGATGTCCTTAGAGACTGAGAGAAAGCAAAATTCTTAAGTGTCTGGGGCCACTAAGGTGGCTGCTGCTTTATAAGGAAACTGAAGGACCTCGGAGCAGAGGCCCACCCTGTACACTGTCGGGTTTCTGGGCTTTGGAGGCTCAAAGGGTGCTCACCTGTGCGGGCTGAGGCTGGCTGTGCCAAGCAGCATGATATTAGTATTAACAGTGATTATTTAATAATAAAAATAGCTCACATTTGTTGGGCACTGACTATGTTCCAAGTACCTCATGCGTATCAATCAATTCAGTGAATCTCCACAGCCTTAAGGAGGTATATTTTGGTTCTGTCTTCATATTACAGGTGAGGACACTGAGGCCCAGAGACATTCAGTGACTTGTCCAAGAACACACTGCTAGGAAACAGTGGATGAAATGACAGGTGGTCAAAGATAAACACTTCACGGAGCAGGACACAGAGAGGCCAAGGGGAAGGATCTGGAAAAGATGTGTGCTCAGGGAAGGGATTATCAACAAGACACAGCAGCTCTGGGTCTCAGTTTCCTTGTCTGTAATGTGAAAGCAGCAATGCCTCCCTTTCCTACACTGCAGGATTCTAGGAAGAATGAATGGGTGGATGCACAGGAAAGTTCCTGAAACTAATTTTTTTTGAAATGCAACTTACTATAGTATTGGAAATTGTAGCAAAATAAAGCATTCTAAAATGAGCGCATCTGAGCATGCGAGCTCTGCAACCAAGTATGAAATGTAAATAAAGACCAGCAATAAAAACGGCTTTTTCTGGAATGAATTTGAAATGCATTAACAGCCCACATTGAACTTAGGGTTTGCTTTGGAATTCTTACAGCTCAGGGAGATTTGCTTTTGGAAGTTGTAACTGCGTTAATTAAATGACTTGTGGGCCATTTATTAGCCTCAATGTCAGGTTTAGGTTAGTGAGCCCAAGGGGTGGTACAGAACACAAAATATGCAATGAAGAGGGAAACCATTTAGCTTATTCATAAAGTATTTTGTCTTTTCTTTGGGGAAACCACATGCTCAGCTGTTAATGGATGGAGCCTATCACGTGCTATCTGCTGACAGTGCAATATAAGTGCCTGCATGGACACCACAGCTTCCTACACCAAGATGTGACATAGAAGAAATTAGCAGAAGCTGCACATGGCAGCTCTTATGTCCCCAGGTTCTGCTAGAGGTTAGTAGTCACACTACTGCACACTGTTGCGTATAAATCTTGGAAAGTGCTGGAAATATATCAGGAAGGTGCCTGATGCCACTGCATACCTATAGCCTGGGCTACAGACGTCTACAAGAAGCTTCAGTTGCACCAACTTGTTGCACATGGATTTCCCCAGATGGTGCAACTGAATCTTCTGTCAGACACCTGTTCCTACTGGGATTGACTCCAGGAGCTTTGGTCTAGGAATCCTGGCACCCTGAGCTCCCCAGATTATATTCATAACAGACAAACAAAAACGGCCACAATTCTCCACCCATCCCTGTGTGCATGCCCCTCGCAATGTGACTCTGCAGCCTCTCTAATCAAGAGGTGGAGTCTCTTCCCCACCTCTCAAATCTGGGCCAATAGAACACGGCAGAAGAGACGGTGTTTCGATTCTGAACCTGGGCCTCAAGAGGCCTTCATGCTTGCATCACGCCGTTGTCAAGAGAGTAAGTCCAAGATAGCCTGGGGGTTGATGAGAGACAAGGTGGAGAGAGACCAGGTGACCCAGCCAAGGCCATTCTAGACCACCCTGAAGCTGGCCAACCCCAAACCCCAAGATCAGCAGAGCTACCTATTCAGCCCAGGGCTGACCACAGACACAGAAGCAAGCAGAGCTGGGAGCAGAATGCTCAGTTGACCCACGGTCTCATGAGCAATAGTAAACGCCTATCATTTTAAGTCACTGGATTCAGGGTGGTTGTAATGCAGCAGTAGCTGGTCGATACAACAGCTATCCCTGCTCTGTTCTCCCCTTCTCCCCCTTCACTCCACAGATCCAGGCCGCAGGACTGCACGTCAGCCTCAGTTTCCCTGCCTCGTGCTCCAGTTCCTCACCAGGACTACAGACCTGCCTTCTCTAGGGTTCTAGGATCCTGCCCGATTCTAATCCAGCTCCGGAAACGCTTTTTCCCTCGTATACACCCACACCCAGAAGTGGGGTCCTCATGACCAGTCGCCAGCACGTCCATGTAGTTTTCCTGAAACTTCCAATTCTGTCCACTATCACCCTGCTTCTGGATGCCCCCCCACGGACTGGCTCCCTCCTTTCTCCTTCCCAAGGACATATTTTGTTTAAATCCTGGCATAACAGTCCTGCCCACGGTATGACACCCGTGATTCAAAGGAACGAACTGTTCAGTGAAGCTCAAATTGGCTTGTGTGGGTGGAGGAGCTGGTCCTTCAGAGTGCTCTGGGGACACCCTCCAGCTCACAGGCCCTAGCGAAGGAATAAAAGCTCCCTGAAATGAGTCAATACTGCCTCGTGCTGCGGGGGGTTTGTACCCACCTGGGAAGCATCTTGTGGGAAAACCGCATCGAAGGCAAACATCTTCGGAGGAACCTGGCTGCCCCTCTTCGGGAAGGCATTCTGGCCTCCGCAGGCCAGGGGGTCGTACAGGGTGATCTGCTTCTTCCGTGGGTCCACCTTCAGGAAAGAGCTGGATTCCGGGGTATCGCGGGCCAACGTGGAGCAGATGCGAAGCATGACTTTCACCTGTTAGGGAACAGGAAGGCCGTGGGTTAAGCTGGATGCTGCCTGATGGAGCCTTCACATGATAAATCATGATGAGCCGCCCAATGAATCAGCAGCACGAGCCTCAGTGGGGCGTGGGAACCCTGATTTAGTTAAAATCACCGGGTAGAATATTTCGGGATGTCCTTTACTTTATTATAGAAACGGCACATCGTGTTCTTTGTCTTCCTGTTAATATAAATTGGGAATTAACTGTACCCTGGTGGCCCAATTACACAGATGAAAAGGCAACCTGGACTGCCACGCTTTTGGGGCTGGTCGAGTTCCCTGGAAGCTCACAGATCAATAAGCCACAGACATAAAAGTTAGCTCCCGTAATTTACTCCTTGCCTCTGCTCGTGAGGACTCCCAGAGAAAAATCCACAGTTATTAGCGTCATCATTAAAGGCCTGTGCAATGGCCTGGATTTTAATGACCAGCATTTGAAGTGTGTTCCAAGGGGTAACAGCGACGAAAGGTTTGTTTCAACTGTGTTATTTGGGACCCTATTAAGTGAGTACATGGAAGTTGACTTTTCAGGGAACAAAAGCACATCTGGGTGGCAAACAGTGGGCGGCGGGCCTTTGACCCGCCTCCTGAGAAAATGAACATGGACATTTCTAGTGCTCACAGCCAGCCCAGCTCCATCCCCTCGGCCGAAGGTGGTACCTCTGGAAATGCCCTGCCTGCCCTAGGGCCCCAAGGGGAGCGGGAGCCAAGCTGCAGGCACACACAGCTCTGGAGACTCGAGTCCTGGGGAAAGGCACAGCATTTACTCCCTCACCAGCTCTTTGTTGCTGTGTTGCTAGTTCCGTCCAACTGTGCTGAGCACCTACTATGTGCCAGGTACCGGACTAGGCACTGGGGATGCGAAGACAGGTGACACATAAAGTAGCAGGACAGGTGGACGCAGACACAGGTCATTCTTGTAATACGATGTGGCCAATTCTGAAGCTCTGCACAGGATCATTTTGAAGCCCCCTCTGCGTCTCACCCTCTTCATCTAATCAACAGCCTGGCCTGATGAAATCTCAGTTATGTGATTTTGGGGAGGAGGTTGTAAATCTTTAAGTAAAATCTTTCAAACCCAGAGAAGTGCTCAGAGAAGAATCCCTACTGTGCGTAATGGAGTGAGGCCACCCTCCGGCCTGCCTCAGCCCTGTCTACTGAGGCACGGGAACTAATCGGCAGAGTCTAAAGCTGAAAGTAATGAATTCCAGGGCACGGGGCTCATCACATGTCCTGCCTGGTGCCTGCTATCTTCTTGTCAGTGAAGAACAGGCCTCGAGTGTGCACCCAGAGGCCGGCGTCACGGGGGACGGAGCACAATGTCGGGATGAGGCCCACCTTCCAGGGTCCAACTCTCGGTTCTCCCACTCTGAGGTCATATAACTATACCTGCCATTTCCCGGGGGGCTGTCGTGTGCTGGGGCTGTGCTGTCACCAGCAGTCATCCACATATGTCATCCACATAGTCCTCCCTAAGCCAGGGTGCAGGCGTATTGTCCCGATTTCATAGATGAGAAAACATGTTACAGAACTCGTCCCAAAGCCCTGAGCCTGTGGGTGGTGAGGCTGGGCTCTTACCCTGAACCCAAAGCCCATACTTCTCCATTATGCCAACCGCTGCCTCCCATACAGAGCTGAACTTCTCAGGGCCTCAGTTTTCTCACCTGTATAATAGGAATGACAATGCCTATCTCATGGGACTGTTGTAAGAATGAAAGAATTGGCCTGTGAAGCACTGAGCACAGACAGGGTGGGTGCTCCAACCCAGGGGGGTCTCCTCCTCCCCCTCCCCACATGTGCTCCTTCTGAACCATAACATGCTTGCCTTTTCCAATCTCAGAGTCAGTGATAAGGCACTGGAACTCCCTGTCCTGGACTCTGGGTGCCATGGATCACAGCAGGATGGGGACACTGCAGAGAGCTGGGTGTCAGCTCTGGGCCTTACAAGGCTCCTGTTAGCGGAACATCGTCAAGTCCCACAGCCCCTCTGTATATGACAGTAACCGCCTCTGCCTGCATCCCGCTGTGTTCCTGGTCACTGCGAATGTCTCCAATCTGATTTCAGTCCCATTCATTTCTGTCGATTTGCCCCTGTGCTAAGAGCACGTCTTCAAATTGCAACTTCGGGGAGGTGTCTGGGGCCTCGGGGCTCTCGGTAAGCAGGTAGGCAGGTCCCCCAGCCCCGCCTCTGGACGGGCCCAGTCAAGGCTGGTGCAGCGCCAGGCAGAACTGATGGAGTGGCACGGCCCACTGCTTTTCTATCTCACAGTTTCACATGCAATTTCTGGGTAACTGGAGGTGCTGAATGTAAAATATGAGCTAAGCCAGGCACGGGCCTGCGAGGGAAAGCAGGAGGGAAGGGGCTGACTTAGCGAGTCATTTGCCTCCTCGTGAGGCTCCAAGCCTGCAGTTCAACTTCTGCAGACGGCCCGGCGATCCCACCGCTGGTCTGGCCAAGGGGACACGCAGCGCTTTAAACCCCACTGCACCCTGGGCCCGGGGATTGCCGCCCTCCATTCTTTTCTCTGCAACTCATTTCAATAAATGGATCTTTTCCCCCTTAAAGGAAGGACATTGGGTTTTTCTCCTTCACTTCCTTTGTGTCTTCCTTCCTTTAGCCCAGCACACCCCTTCCTGCCCAATCCTCGGCAAGTAAAGCGCTTAGGAGATGCCACTTGTGATCAAGAAAGGCCCAGGACTCTGCCAGAAGTTCTTGCTTCGGTCGCAAACCCTGGTAGCTTCTTGGCAACACCTACTTCCACCCTTCCTGTCCCTGCTGCTCTGGGGACACGGGCCTGCAGCTGTCAACACGCACAGCCTCTCCCCAGCACTCAGAGTAAAGGAGAGAGTCACTATGTCACTCCCAGTGGCAGACCAGGAGGAATGGGACCTGGAAAGCTAAGGGCACAGTGAGAGCGGTGGGGTGAGGGGAAGGAGGGCCCCGCCACCCTGATTCACCACGAGCAGACCAGCAGCGCCTCTAGCAAAGACCTCGCTTTGCCTCATTTATACCTAATTATCCGGTGGACGGGGCCAGGCTGCTGTTGCTCTGGGCAGTCAGCCTCTGAGCACCTCTTTCTGGATGGCACGGGGGGACCGGGGGAGAAAGGGAGAGAGAACCTAAACTATACACGCCCCATCCACGTAAAGTCAAAGGCCGACTGCCCCACGGCCTCAGGGCGCAAATGAGGCGTGGGCCCCACAAGCGCTCATCTCTGCCACCACACGTGATCACAGAGACAGATGTTCCTCTCTGTCCCTCGTCACAGGGGGCAAGCACGTGGTGCAGAGCCAGGGAGGCTCTTCGTTGCCTGTTTCTCTGTCCAGTGGGAGGCTGACTATAAGGCTCAGGAGGGCTTGGGGTAAATCTGACCATTCCAAGGATCCCTCACCAAGCAGAGGCAAAGCACAGAAGATGGGAAGGTGGTGGGAGGCGGAGGCAACCTAGCAATCCTTCTCATGTCTGAGCTTTGTTTAAACTCCTCTGTGGACCCCACAGTGATGACCCTCGACAGTCACACATGGGACAATGACTATTCCCTGGCCGGAGTCTCAACCACAGTAATTGCTCAAAGACAGTGTGTTGCTGAGGATAAGTAGTTTTTTCCCACAAGGTCAGAGGCTGCAGAGGAAATTAACCACTAACATCTTTCAATTCCTTCATGTTTCCATATTTTTACTCTCTTTACACTGATGTCCAAATTCAATTTTTTAACAATCAGCTTAGTGGAAACTGGTCAAGGTGATGTCAGATTACCTAAGCAGAAAGCCCATTTGGCATTTGTCTCAATCCCAGCAGTCCTAGAAGTACCTTTAGGCCTCTGAATCTATTCTTAAGTTCCTAAAACATGTCTGGAAATTGTTCTACAAGGCAAGTCGGGGTAAATGGGAAGGTTCTACCTTCTGAGGAAAGTAGAAAAGGTGAGACTGTCAGAGGGAGTCCAAAACCCAAGGAATCATCTGCTGGGACAGAACAGCCAACTGCAGAGCCCGTTTGCAACTGACCCCTCTCGTCCAGGGCCTGTCCCCTTCACGGAGGCCGGGGGCAGCGATGGTGATGCTGGGCATCCTCAGGGTGAGTGTGAGCCATGGACATTCTGATCATCCTGTCGCTCAAGGAGACTCTCTGCCTCAGATGGGAGAGCCAAGGCGTGGGCACCCCAGGCCCTGCCTGATGACAGCCGGGTGTGGGCAGGGAAGACGCAGCCTGCTGGCCTCAGTGCAGACCGGGGAGCCCTTCCTGGTTTCTACGTATTTTTGGGTGGGATTCAGCTCTTGAGGGAGAAATGTGAACAACAAAAAGGCCCACTGTGTGTCACGAGTGTATCTCCTTTCTTACAGGTTCCAGGTGTAACGGGCACTGCAGTGAAGTAGGAGCCAGGAGGCTGGGTTCAAGTCCAATGTCACCACCATTGAGTGGCCGTGTGATCTAAGGTGTGGGCCTCGGTTTCCTAATCCCTAAAATGGGCCTGTTATGCCATCTCCCTGGAAGGACAGTTGTGAAGAAACAAGTAAAGACAGATATAAAGCAGCATATAAATATAAAATACTGTTCAAGGGAGGGAGGGAG